TTGTCATCCTCTGCATTTACTCTGTCTTCCACCGTGTTTACAGGTTTATTGTTAAAGGTCTCTGTTTTTCAGGTCTTATGTTATGTTTAGTTACCCCAGTCTAGGTTTTTGTTAGTTTCTCTCAGTTTTCCTTTGCTTTTTTTATAGTGGTTTTTTTTTTTTTGTTCACCTCACTCTGACTCCATTGTCTGCATTTGAGTCCCCAATCTCCTCAAGCCATGCTGTCTGACATCGCAGACGTCACAGGAATAAAACCTGTGCTGGTTCAACACTTTAACCTGAAGCTTACGGCTGAAAGAACTCCAACTCCCTGTATATTTGTCCAGGTCCCTCCTTTCATGATTGCAAATGGTTATAAAGCACCAACACATCTTTTCTATTTTGGTTTAAATAAACTGGCTATCAACAAAATATTGTTCTGGACGGTACGGTGGTTCAGTGGTTAGTGGTGTTTCCTCATAGATGGTTCCTGTTTCAAACTATTTATTAACTGATGGATTTCTCTGAGGTGTTTGTATCTTCTCCCTGTTCCTGAGTCTCTTTTACAGCAATGATTAGATGTTCCTGTCATAGTTTACATATCACTTTGGTGATAATGTGAATATTTCTGAGTGGATGCTTTTCCACCTACTGAAGCAATATGTGACCCACGGTTCAAAGGTTATTTGATAAACAAGTATACAATTCACCTTTTGTCGACAACAGTCCACAGATCTTGGTATAATGGGTTTAAATTATACATAACGTCATGGAACAATGAAAATGTAAAAGTGCTGACTGAGCTGGTGGATCGAGCTGTCAGTGTGGATTTAGCATGACGCCACTGGAGGTCCTACATCTGGTTCTCAGACAGCTGTTGACAGTCTTCTCATGTTTTCTTTCATCAAGATTAGGGATGGGAACTGAGGACTAATTCTTGTAGAGAACTGGTTCCCAGTAGTTCAGTTCCTTGGAAATGTTATCTGCGATTCTGCTTATTGGTTCCATGACAATCAGCTGATTTCGGTTTGTGTGTCATTAGGTAAAAAATAATGGCACAGTCTACAAAACACACAGTCTATAAAATATAAGCAAAATATAAGCATTTTATTTATATTTTATTACACAAAATGATAAGGGCATTATGTTAAACTGGAAACTGGACCCAGGACAAAAACTACTGGACTGTACTGCTAACACGACTTTCACCCTTCGAATGATTCAGCACAGAAAGCATGGTAATGCTAAGCTAGCCAAGAACCCAGAGTTAAATATGAGTGAATGCCGACCCGAGCAAAGCAGGCAGACCCTGAACCTCAACAGGTAGGAAAAGCAGTGATGAGCAGTCATAACGTTAATAAACCAGGTAATAAAAGAAAAAGTATTTAATGTACTAATAGGAAATGAAAAGTCTCTACAGTCCTGTTGTCAGTGTTGATCTTGAACAGTAGGGGTCGTAGCTTTGCCATTTTACAGCAGCAGCAGTGAGAGCTCAGCGTGCAGCAGGAAAACACAGGAAGTACAACAAAAGAAATTGTTTGGTAGGAACATGACGTGAGAAATTTCACTGATCCTATAGTGTGTCAGAGTTACTCAGCACAGCTGGATCAGTGGTGTCTGATATGCTCCAAGAAATCAGTATATTTTTTTCTTGATTTCTTTCCTTTGCGGATGGTTGTGGAATGAAAACACCACATATGTTCCGCTCCCTGAAGACCAACACAGAGAGACTGAGGAGGAGCTTCTTCCCGCAGGCGATACGGTCTCTCAATCACACCACCACACAGTACTGACCCACACATTGGTTCTTACACACACACTGGACTTTCTGGACTTTGTTTTTGCACAACACTGGTCACTATATTCTTCATTTCCGGTTAATACTTGTACAGCTGCTGTTATTGTGTATATATTTATTTATATTTAGATTTCTTCATACATTCTTATATAGTTCTATATTGTGTATTGTGTATTTTGTTGTACAGTTATTTTATTTTCAACTTTAATTTATATATTTTATCTTATTCTCCCAGTTAAATTTACCCTTCATTCTAATTTGTGTTGTACAGTTATTTCATTTTTAACCTTAATTTATATTTTATTCCTTCCTAGTTAAATTTACCCTTTTTAATTTTTCATATTTATTTCCTATCTTATTCATAGCCTTTCCTTTTTTGTTTTCTTTAGGTCACGAGCAGTTGTCCAAGCATTTCACTACATATCGTACTGTGTATGACTGTGTACGTGACAAATAAAATTTGAATTTGAATTTGAATTTGAATGTCCCACCAGGATTTGTGAGCCACAAGGACTGAATCAAAGACAGAGCTGATCAAATCTGTCAAATCTGTCAAATCTGTCCTCCAGCCTGAAGTGTTTAGATCCCAACAAAGTAAAGGGTGGTCAAAGTGGATTTTGTGTTACTGATGTCAGTGTTGGGTAAGTTACTTTAAATTAGTAACTTAGTTACATTACTAGTTACTTCCATCAAAAGTAACTCAGTTACTTCAAGTTACTCGTTACTTTCAAAGTAACTAGTTACTAGGGAAAGTAACTTTGGTTTTACTCAGACTTCTCTTGTTAATGTGTTGCTAACTGGATACCCAGCAAGAGTGCCAGTCTTCTAGCTTGCTTACTTGCCACAAGTGCACTGTGCCACCTACCAAAGGAAAAAATAATGTGCATATTTCCACGAGAGAAATCCCACGCCTGGACCGTCGTTGACCGCCGCCATGATTCTAGCCTACGTTACAGCGTCATGTGCGCTTTTTACATCCAACACAAAAACTGCAGTCGTGTGCTTTTGATTGTACTCAGAAATTCGATATCATGACCAGCAGCTTTACAGCTGTGGCTCGAGCAAACATCAGCTGATACTAGAAAGTAATATTAAATAAATTCTAACAACAGCTGATCAAACGTGCTGCTGTTGTTTAACGCGACATCCACTGGTTTCCTCTTTCTGGCGCAAAGTGGGCGATAAATAAACAAGAGGGAAAAGCCGATCAGCTGATCATTGATCAGTTTCATGATTAAAGTAGCAACAGGAGAGAGAGGGGGAGAGAATGGCAAATGGTAAATGGCCTGTATTTATATAGCGCTTTTACTAGTCCCTAAGGACCCCAAAGCGCTTTACATATCCAGTCATCCACCCATTCACGACACACATTCACACACTGGTGATGGTAAGCTACATTGTAGCCACAGCCACCCTGGGGCGCACTGACAGAAGAAGAGGCAGCTGTGACAGCAAAGACAGAATAACTCCAGCTTTGTGTCTTTTTCATTGTAGCTGAAGTCCGGGACAAACTGTGTTCCTTTTCACCTCAATACGAAACGTGTAATAATTTCTCTGCATACGAGACGATTCCGTTTTTTAGGGAACGGTTGGCAACTCTAATAATTAACCGTATGAACAAAATAAAGTTCAACATCAGTAACATAGCACCCACCCAGCTGTATAGAAACCCCGTCATGCTAGCTAGCACACAGTACGAAAAAGTCAGCACAACGAAAATAAACTCCAACTAAACTTGGTTCATATCTGACCCAGATAGACTGCAGGTCATAACTTCTTACCTGAAGTTCAGTTCACCTGACACTCGGCCGCTTCGGGTCTCTCCTCTTACCTCCCCTTTCTCTCATCCACCTGCTGGCTTCCACCACTTGCTAATGAATCTGTGGAAGCTCCGCGATAGCCACCGCAAGAAGTAACGAATAACGAGCCTATTTAAATCCCAGTAACGAGTAACGCGTTCCTGATTTTGGCATAATAACTAGTTACCATGCTCGTTACCACAATAATAACGTAGTTACTGTAACGCGTTACTTAATAACGCGTTAGTCCCAACACTGCTGATGGTGAGAGGTAATTTAAAATGGTCATATCTGTGTATATTTTTCCACCATCAGTCTCAGATAAAATTTGTCCCCCCAAAATGTAAGAATTAAAAAAAGTTGATTTTAGAATAAAATATAAAACAAACATATATTTTTATAAAATCAGAGTGCCAACAACAATACAAAAATTTCCTGCAAGTTACTTTGATGAAAATGAAAGTAATGTATCTAAATTCAGGCCCAGCATTTAGTCTGTTTTTGTTCAACATTACACAATCACAACATCTCAAGTTTATTAGCCGTTCATACCGTTATCTCTCTCACTGACTTCCTGTGTCTGCTGTCAGCTCTTGTTGTAAGCTGCATGAATGTGAGACAGCTTCATTTTCCTTATTACAGTACTGTGCAAAAGTCTTAAGTCAATTGTTTTCTTTATACAAGCACAGTATATGAGGAAAAACAGTTTGTACAATTCTAATGTGCATGAAAGTCTCTTCGCCAGCGTTCTTCTAATTTCTTCAGCAGTCTTCAGGAAAACTCCTCCAGGTGTGATGATGATTCAAAGCATAAACAACACTTTTTACTGCCTTTTGGTTTTTTCTTTGCCAATATATTGTTTATATATAATAGGATGCTATAACTGCAGGAATTTTTTGTAAGCGGCAGATAATTTGAAAGACTTTCAAAAATATCATCAAACATAAAAACGTGTTAATGTGCAGACTGACACACATTCTGTCTGTTTGCCAAAGATACAGTTTAGTGAGAAGTAAAAAAACTTAATGTGTGGAAAACTTTGCTGGCAGAGATGGAGGAAGATGTAAGAAAGTGAGGACTGGAGAGGATGAAGGATTATTTTCAAACTTAAGTCACAGTCATGCTATGAAGAGTTTATACTGGAGAGGAAAGGCAGGTTAAATAGAGCCGCTGCAGTAATGTGGCAGACATTTAAAACATAAACATAATTAAACAATATTTAAACAATTTAAATCTAAATTCTAACAAAAAAATTTAAACTATTGCATTTGTTTCTATGTTTCGATTCTATTCTATTTCTTGGACTGCTTCCT